GACACTCATCATGGCTTTGAACTCTGCCTCCCTGGCACAGCTTTCTTTCACATGTACCTCTTTAGAAAACCGGCCCCAGGCTTGTTTCTCTGCTCTCATGGAAACTGAATGCCTGACTCACGAAGGCCTGGAGTCTCCAGCCTGGTATTACTCTTCTGAGGCGGGTCAGCTCACACTCATGACTAACAGTGTAGTAAGTCAATGGAAAATGCTTACTTAAAAGCACCTTTGGTTTAGCCTTAGCCTCAGGCAACAGCACCTCAACTTTACAAGAAAAAGTGGCACCCAGCTCTTTATTAGCCCCTATTCTGCCACTTGAAGCAAAGTTATTGGCTCAATCCTCTACCCAATAAATCATCAAATCTTACAAATTAAACACCACCTCCTTTTATCAAAAATATAGATCATTATCAGTTTTCTTGGCCTTTAGCACCGCCTGTCTCCCTGTTCCAATCTTACTTCACCACCAACCCATTCTCTACCAGTAGAAAGAACAGTTATCAAAAAGGTAACTGTAATATTTTATTCTTCCTCTGTTAAAACCCTGTAATGGCTTCCCCACTGCCTTCAGTTCAAACTGCGCCGAACTGATTATCGTGACTCAGGCAAATGGCCTTACGCTTCACTTCTTTAGCTTCACCCTTCCCACTCCTCCTTACATTCCAAATTGCTGACACACAGAACCGGTATCAGTTTCTTACTTGACCTCTCATACTTAGGTTTTCTGCCATTCTCTCTTCCTACCCACATGTACTCTCCCCTTTTGCCTAGCCGGCTCACTGTTTAAGTCTGTTTAAGTCTCATTTTAAATGACATTACATTAATGGGGGGGGCTATCCTAGCTCATTAAAATAATAGGTACCTATGTAACCCATTATCACTGAAATCATACTGTCTACTTTTTTCTATCTTCTGTTACAAGAAGGGACTGTCTGTCAGGTGTGATGTGCACCTCTGTAATCCCAGCACTTGGGAGGTTGTAGCAGGAGGATCGCAGTGAGTTGAGGCCAGGCTGGACTACACAGGCAGTTCAAGGTCAGCCTGAACTATGTAGTGAGACCTGCCTCAAAAAAAAAAAAAAAAAAGGTTTGGTCTAAACTAGCATTCAGTATAACCTGGATTACCTGAGAACATGCAATTTATAACTGGAAGTATTCTAGACATGATGGAGTGTTATTAGTCGAGGATTTAATACACATCACACATAACACACAAAGTGGAATCCACAAGTAGAAATTACTATATGGCAGAAAACAACTATATGTGGTCCAAAACTTCAATGTCACATACAATACATACTATTATACCTCTATCTTTTCAAAATAAACACCTACAAAATGGTATGTTTGCATTAAATATTCTACTTAAACAAAATCACCCAACAGTGGGTCTTTGAAAACAATCATTCTGAGTATGGTCCCATTATTCGGAAAGGAGGGTACAACACTATATAAGAAATATATACTTAATAAAATTACAAGAATGACTATCCTGGGGCCAGGGATTTAGCTCAGTGGTTTCGCCACCTGCCTTGCAAGTGCAGGGACCTGAGTTCGATCCCTGGCACCAAGAAAAAAAACAATGACTACCCTGTTTAAAAAGTTTTAGAAATTCACCCATTTATTTGTCTTCCATTTAACCTCATGAATGAGAAAGGGGTGAAGCCACAGCTAGACAGTAGGAAAGTATAATCTTATATATGCTCAAAGAAGAGTACAAAACAAGTAGACATCCACCCTGTGTGGTGGCTGGAAAAAGTTTTGAGATTTGTTTTAAGTTACCCTATAAATACAAAATATGAAATATAGGTCAAAACTCAAATAAGTACTTAAAATTAAATTGCTGTAAAGATTATGAGCCATTTATGCCTGGGTTCAAATGCTAATCTTCCACATCCCACTTCGGAATGTACTTACCCCTCTGTAATGGGGTGACTGTGAAGATCAACGGTCTTACAACACTGCCTGTCTAGTAGTAGGCACTGTACAAGTTCTGGTTACTATTTACTCAACACCACCACTGAAATACTAAGTTACTGTTGTACTACCAGATTATTCTTTGAAATATTAACCCAATTTAATGAAACGATGCCAAACCAAGATGAGCTCTTACATCCAAGCATTTTTATGCTGACTTAAAAACTTTAAATGCATAAGAAATTCCCTGAATTGACTACTTTTCATAAATGCCAACCAGATACATATATCAAATACCCATTCTAAATAAACAAACCCATTTTACAAACTAAAGTACAACACAAAATGCCATGCCTATTGTACTTTCTCCCCTAAAGATCTCCAAAAAACCAAATACCATAATCTTCAAAATATGCAAGATACTCAAGAAAACTGCAGGTCAGAGCAATGAGCATCTTTCTCTAAAATTTGTCACATAATCACAAAATGCTGTCATACAGTTCAAGACTCTTTGACCTTGCACTCATTAACTAGTTCAAAACATAGAGTATCCAATATGCACCAGCAGAAACTACCCTAAACCCTGATGTAGTAGCAGAAAAAGAGAAGCCAATAAAAGTAAGAGGCATGCCACCAGTTACATAATTAAATATTTTCCAATATTATAGTCTTGTTTTTCTTAAACAGTGAAAGAAACATAAGCTCTTACAGATGAATGCATCAATACTTAATAAACTGAGTTAAATAACCTTGTGACAACCCAGTATTTTCCCCAAGGAGACTAAGCATAAAATAAGTACCTCTCTACTTCTCCAGCAATTATTTACTGAATAAAAATAAATGTCCGTTTCAAATGAGTCATTAACAATCTCAAGTGTACCACCTAACTGTACTACTTTTTGACCCATTTACTTTTTCAAAGTTCAGAGAAACAAATTTTGAGTTCCATTAAGCTAAATATTACCTGCAATCCATCAAAAATAAACTGCCCTCATTTATATGTACTCAGCATATTTTTGCTGGGGGAGCTAGCATCAACTTACTAATCGTATCTTCTTTTGATCAACCACCTTTGAAAAAAATCTAGCCTATACCCATTTACAGAGGAGCTACAGTTTATACTGTACATCCAATGACATTTTACAAAGCAAGAGTTTCCTCAAAGGCAACCACATCACTACTAAATTTTAAAAATTTTTAAATATCTAACAAAACTATTCTGCAAAAAAAAAGTTGCAACCTTGACTGTTGTTGAAAGATCTTAACTGCTGCTGTTATTCACAATCTAAAGAGACAAACAGCCAATACCTGTTCACTAGAAAAAAAAAAGAGCCATTAGGATAAAAAAAGTTATTACTATTGATAAATGGGCATCATCATACTGACCTGCAGGGAGGTGTGCCTTAGAACTAAGACCCTCCCTTGGGAGTTATTAGGGACTATGAAAGTGTGCGGGGCGGGGAGTGCTGTCATTTCGTTTAGTGACAGCAGTTCTAGTGAACTGCAACACTTTACAAACGGGCTAGCAAATAAAGTCCAATCATCAAGTCACTCTAGATAAAGCTTCTGCTTATACTACTAAACACAAAGAATTAAAAGGAGCACAGTGCTCTCCTTGAGGGGTATTAGTCTAAAATGATCTGCAATAAAAAGGCACCAAACACCCAAGTGACTGAAATCCCTGCAGCCACAGAAAACAGCCCTCTGGAATGCCAGTCTGCCAAAGTGCAAAACTCACACACGCTCCTCACATGGCATTTAGAGAAGTGAAAGGTATTCGACTCTCTACACTCCGGGGGGGGGTGGGGATCTAATCGGATTCCAAAACCTTCGCCCTCGCCAGAATGTCACTCCGGGGTACCCGCATGTCCTCAGTCCGCCTCAGCCGAGAGCTCTCGACAGACGTCGCAAACGGACGCGACAAAGTCTCACCAGCACACAGCACTAACAGGTGAGGCCGAAATCGGGCACGGGCGGAGGGAGAGGACTCGCCAGCTCCGTCGGACCCGCGCAGGGCAAGCCCCCGAAGCTCTGGGGAGGAGGACACGATGCGGCTCCGCCTCGGGCGGCCACGAGGTCACCACGGAAGAAGAAAAAGAAAAGCGGGACTCGGCGGGA